TAGATCCGCCCCTGAATATTGGCCGATTTGCGTGATAAGATTACGGACTCCTGGTTTACTCTCTGAGTATTACTGCGTCTGCCCATTTTGCCTCTGTTTACCAGCCTTAAATTCGGAGATTTCAGCTTTTAACTGCTCTGGTTTCTATTGCATTTGATCCCTTTTGATGTCTATGTAACTCAAAAATTAAAACTCCTTATCTCCTTGAATTTTTAAGGAACTTTACAAAATTGCAGCGCTTGCCTCTGGTGGATTCCCTATGAGATAAACGTTATACCTCTCATAGGAATAAAGTAATCAAATTAAAATTTACGAGTATATGTCATCCTTTGGAGTGATTGTACAAACTATTACACTCAGTGGGGAAATACCGAAAGATGTTTTCTTCTCATAACCAAATTGTCAACGCCTCAAGCAAATTAGTCCCATTCTGTCTTGTTAGTAATTTTTGGACGTGTTTATACTGTTCAGTTTGTGTATCCTTCGTTATAAAGTTTTTCTCCTCTCTGCTTATTGCACTGATGACTTCCAGTGTTGTGGCTGATAGATGTGGAAAACAAATTTGAAATGGTGAGAGGAAATTAGCTTTGCAATTCTATGACATAATTTAATTCTATAATCCACCTTAACTATTTTACCTCCGTATCACGTTTCTTTTGTTATTTATTTGTGCGTGATGATTTGCCATTCTGTATGTCAATTAGGAAAAGATAGTGGTACACCCGATGCTCACAACAACACTCTGAAAGAAGGCGACTGCAAACAAGATGTCACAGGGTTCCGAAGAGTTATTCAGTATGTTTACAATAATCCAAACCTGCAATGTTACACACAGTTTTTTGTAGGCGGACAACCACCGAGAGGTTTACGTTATCACAACAATAACAACATAAGATACATCTGTCAGCCACCGAGGCCGAATCAACAGGCTCAGAATACCTACTACGCTACAATGTTTGATGAGGGTTATGGAATTGCGGTGTTTGCAGCCTACACTCTAACCCAGTTCAACGCAGTTTTTCCAGGAAACCAACGACAAGTGCACTGGTGCCCAACCCCAGGTAACGTGATTTAAAATCCCACTATACCTACGCACTATGCGGAGCACTTGAGAAAATATACTTCATGTCTAAAACTACTGAATGAAAGGCTTGGTCGACTTTAAAAGACGTGCACGTATATGATTAACTAGAGATGTAGGTTTAGGACGTTTATAGGTATATAAATATGTCTGAATTTATGAAAACCGTGTTAAGGC